TTCCCTAGTCATTTTTAAATCTTTTAGCCTAGGGAAAACGGTAGCCAGAAAAGAGCAGAAAACAGATGGTATTTAAAGGCCTTCGCAAGATGCACAGAGCAGATGAGGCTGCCCGTCTCCCCACTCTGGTTCCTCGCCATTGTGATTACTCTGATGGTCCCAGTCCTTTGGACCTTGTGAGGGTGTCCAAAGTTAAGATAGTGACGGATACTTGAAACATTAAAATTAAAATCAATGGATAACTGTGGCTTTGATTGCAATCTAATATCTAAATGGGAGAGATATCTATTTGTTACCTACATTCTTTGCAGAGAATGTGCCTGAGTCTAACTCTTGGGTGTGAGTATCTATCATTCATTGTTTAGTGAACCAGGGAGCAGGACTGAGAGAAACAGAAACAGATGGCAGAGGAGGTAATTGAGATACCGGATAGCTCGCAGGCATCCTGGTAGGCCACATAACAGCACTTGTGTGAATGCAAGAGAAATATTCTACACAACTTCACTGGATGTGTTAGCTGAGTCTGACTTGATAACCTGCTCAGAATTCAAATTCCTACAGGGCGGGCTGGGGTACAGAAGGTTTGAGCTCATGTCAGGGAATGGGGGCAACAGATTCTCCCAACTAAAAGGGCTCATTGTAGAGTAAAAGGCCCAGGTTTTAATAAGATATTTGAAAATTCTGCACATATTGGCATGAGAGGGTATTAGTACTGGGGACAACAGATTTTTGGTATTAATAGTTAAGCCACCTTTTAATTAGCTCACACTATTTTTGCAAGGGAGACATTTTTGTGGTATTGGTGGTGGTTGTAGGCAATGAGAATGCCTTAGACCTCTGAGAAGGAGAGCTGGGGACAGTGAGGTGCAGATCTGTGAAGTGAGGCTTCACATCCTGCCTCCATCACTTGACCTTGGGCAAGTACCTCAGCATACCCAAGCCTCATTTTGTTCATCTGTAAAGTGGGCCTAATAATATCACCTCATTCAGCATTTGGTTCAGTGTCTAATACATACTCAGTACCTAATAAACAGTAGCAATATCATTAATAAACAAATGTGCACAGTATATCAGTTTTGCATATCAAGGGTTGAGAACATTCATGGATGTCACTTCTCACAGCACCATGAACCCGTCTCTGAATGGCTATGGTGAGTGTTTTTCAGTATTCTCATGTTCTGTAGACCAGGAAAAACAATCGTACATCACTAGCCCTTCTCTCTTGGTTCCTGTATATATAAACCATGTTGTTTGTCTAAATAGAAGTTAAATTCAGAACGTTTCCTGGAAACACTTTCTGATTATATCATTAGACTGACTCAAAGAATGTGAGGTGCAGAGGCTAGCTACACACATATGAATCACCTGCTAAAAACAGTGGTTCCTCCCGAATGTATTAAGGGCAAAATTTACTTATAAAATTTCAATTCCTTTAAAGCTTAACCAGTCATATCTTTGATTATAGACTAGTATTGCCTGGTAGGTTAAAGGATTGCCTGGTATGTATAGAGGAAACATCAATTGCATATATTTTATTCTACTATATGATGGCCATGCCAGAGACCCACAGTCGTACCCAATGCTCAATAAAGTTCACAACTGAAACCAACAAAAGATGCAAACTGATTCTGATCCATTTTAATATTAAAGTGTCACAGCACTTTTTGAGCTATTTTATAATTAATTTCAAAATAGATGAGGCAGTAACATCAAGGTTTAGCTAATTATGTTTAAATTAAATATAATCATTTAAAGTAACCATTATAATTAAATACAAGATTCAGGCAACTAATCATTAAAAGTAGAATTGTTAACTTGAGATTTATTATTCTGAAATTCCTTGCATTGCCTTTCTAATGAGTTCTTTCCCCTATAAATGAAAGACAAAAGGTATCTCACTAAAGTCATACTTAGTAAAAGGTCAGGGTTGTCAAATTGATATTGAATCAGTGCAAAGAATCTGCTTTACTACAATCTCCTAGATACAAAACTACAGTTACTATTTGCTAAACCATGTCCAACTTGACTTACATCTTAGTTCTATAAACATCTTAGAATCATCCTAATGATTATAAAGCATTTATTACTGACAAAGAAAAAGGACATATTTTGTTTTTTAATAAAAAAACATATTTTTTATAAAGGAGTGTCTGAGGAAGAAAAATCTAAATAATTCTGTGATTTAATTTTTAAAATTAAAATAATTTATTATAATTTAATACCATCTCACACCTGTCAGAATGGCTATCATCAACAAATCAACAAATGACAAGTGCTGGCAAGGATGCGGAGAAAAAGGAACCCTCATGCATTCCTGGTGGGAATGCAGACTGGTGCAGCCACTGTGGAGAACAGTATGGAGTTTCCTCAAAAAACTAAAAATGAAATTCCCATTTGACCCAGTGATCCCACTTTTATGAATATATCCCAAAAAACTAGAAACACCAATCAGAAAGGATATATGCACCCCTATGTTCATAGTGGCACAATTCACCATAGCTAAGATTTGGAAACAGCCTAAGTGTCCATCAGCAGATGAGTGGATGAAAAAACTGTGATACATCTACACAATGGAATACCACGCTGCAGTAAAAAAGAAAGAATTCTTACCATTTGCAATAGCATGAATAGAACTGGAGATCATTATGCTAAGCGATATAAGTCAGTCAGAGAAAGATAAATATCACATGATCTCACTCATTTGTGGAATATAATGAAGAACATAAACTGATGAACAGAAACAGATCCAGAGACAGAAAAGCATTAATCAGACAGTAAACCTCAGGGGGAAGGTAGGGGAGGGTGGGGGTAAGAAGGAGAAATCAACCAAAGGACTTGTATGCATGCATATAAGCCTAACCAATGGACACAGACACCAGGGGGGTGAAAGGGAATGAGTGGGGGGAGGGGGTGGGGGGGGGTAATAGGGGGAAAGGACACATATGTAATACCTTAATCAATAAAGAAAAAAAGAAAAGAAAAAGAAAAAAAATTTAAAAAGAATAATGAGGAAAACAACTGAATAGCTTCATTTTATAAATTATAGATATATACTCCAAACTTTATATTTGTAAGAATATACAAATATATTGATATAGTCAAATTTGTATATATGTTTCTATATGTTTAAAAATAACCATTAGCTAGTTCTTATACTGGAATGTTATTCATTTAACATAAACCCTGACACATGGCAGGTGCTTAATCAATGTTTGCAAATTTAAAAAATAAATGTTTTCCTATTATCTATTGCTTTTCTGTGGTCTGGAATTAGTACAAATGTTAAGAATCTAAAAGTGAGCAGTGCCTTTCTGGGTGGAAAAGGGTGATTTAAAGGCAAGTTAGCTTGTTTTGCTCCTTGTACTTAACACCTGTAATTAGTGATTGTCACATTTTTTCTTGTGTTGTAAAACTGAACTAATTGAAGGTACTACCCTTAGGGGATGAATTCTACAGTGTAATAAATGTTGAGTGCCCTCTTGAGTTTAGCGTTTTAATTATTCATAATTATAATGATTTCTGTTTATTTGAGAACTTTAGAAATAATTCTAGTTTATCAAAAAAATTCAGAAGCAGAGTAGTTGAGGCGTTGCTTTATTTTATGTTGCGGTCAACAGGCCTATGAACATGCCCAGACATTCTCATGAGCAATGGAGCCAGTTTACAGGTGGGCACTACTGATGTGTGCCATGTCCTGAATTAAATGGAGGCACTTATTTCTACTCATTCTCTGATTTCTCTAGAAGTATTTGGGGAATGTTGGGATTGTGAGGTGAAGAGCTGACAAGGATTCAAGTGGAAGAACTGGAAATAATATAATGCAGTATGAACCAAAGAGGAGAACAACAGATTTGATAGCTGGTTATTAACCAAGTATATAAGTTTTTAAGGTCTTTCCTCTTCTTAAGAGGGTGTGTGTGTGTGTGTGTGTGTGTGTGTGTGTGTGTTTGCTTTGCACCCTAAATATATTTGCACACAAGAGACCCAAGTTAAAATATGGGTATTCAAGGTAGGTATTCTGGCCATTTTGGACTAGGATAATTTTTACATCTACTATATTCAAATATATACTAGTGATAACAATATATTGGGACTGGGCTCCTACAATCTATTCAATGTCATATACATTCTTAATAATAGCCTGAAATAATGAAATCCTACTTTAAAAAAAAAATTTGGTTGCCGAAACCGGTTTGGCTCAGTGGATAGAGCGTCGGCCTGTGGACTGAAAGGTCCCGGGTTCGATTCTGGTCAAGGGCATGTACCTGGGTTGCGGGCACATCCCCAGTAGGAGATGTGCAGGAGGCAGCTGATTGATGTTTCTCTCTCATCGATGTTTCTAACTCTCTATCTCTCTCCCTTCCTCTCTGTAAAAAATCAATAAAATATATTTTAAAAAAAAAATTTGGCATTGAAAATTTGTTTCATTGCAATCTGTTTTATTTTCCCCATCTCTTTCTTTTTCTATCTATCCAACACTTTAATTTTAGAGCCAAATATGTACTTTGCAGCTAGAGAATTACCCAGGTCTTCTGATAATCTATTCAATTTAGGAAGCAACAGCAATTGTTTAATATATTCAAGAAGTAGCAAAGGTAAGAATGATTGATATGGATAATATCATCCTATAAAAAGGTCCGTCTGGAGACACGCAATATTAGCAATTTTAAGGAGAGTACATTTAACCACTCTCGCCTAAAAAGCTCAGCAGAACCAAGGTCCTGCTACAAGAACATTATCTGAAAGTACCTAGGAGTATGTCTCTGATGAAAGGGAATTAACAATTACATAATCCAGGGTTAGGCTCAAATGTGAGCTCTGCTCTTCATCAGCAAATTGTTTACTAAAGAGACTGGAAGTACCATTTAAAAAAAGAAATGTTCTGATCATCCACAATATATCTCTCCTTCCCAAAGCAAATTTTTAACCACACCTACTAAGAAGAAGGGGAGGGGAAATGACTAATTGGAAACTCACGTTGTCTCTGCCTCTACCCTCAGGTGCTGACAAGCAGGGAACAAGCCCAAAAGACAGGCCGTAGGGAAGGAGAGGCCATGGAATATCCACCAACCAGATAATCATCGCTGGAATAACTGGGAAGTGTCTGAATGTAGGTATGTGCATTGAAGACTTCTGTGTGCTTCTGCGTGTAACACCCCCACCCCATCAGCCTTTTGAAAACCTATGGGACGGCCTGGCGTATGTGAACACGTGCACAGGGCCACTCACACCCCGGCCGCCCTGCAGTGGGAAGTCTCTTTATTCTCTCGGGCTTTGAAATCATCCTACAAAGTGACTTAAATGCCTCCTGCTCTCTAGCCTCGGTGTTCCCATGTAGAAACCTTCCTCCCAAGGACACTGACCACTGGGTCTGTGTCCTTGCTCTCCCCATGCTCTGACCATCCGAAATAACACCCAGTTCATCTGAGCTGGTTTTAGTCCTGGTTTCCCTCCAAGACCTAAGTCAAGGTCTACCTCCACTACAAATTCTTGCTGCTTTCTCCATCCCCAATATTTGCTGTGGTCCAAACTTCTATAGAACGTGTAGTTACACCCTTTCTCTGGCATTTGACAACGTGATCCACATACTGCTTTTTTTCTCGTTATGCCCATGTCCTGTGTCCTCAGTGCCACTGTTTATTTCTGGAAAGGCAGGATCTGCCACATTTTTGTATGCCAGATTCCAGAGCAGCAGAAAAGGGCATGTCATGAGCTGTAATGATGTAGTGAGGCAGCAGCGGGCAGGGGTAAAGGACACAGGGTCTGAAGCCACACTGCCTAAGTCTGAGTTCCCACTCAGCCAATTACTAGCTGGGTGCTCTGGTCAAGGTTTTTTGAAAAAAAGAAAAACAACTTTCTGTGCTTTAATGTCTACATCTCTAAAATAGGAGTAGTAATTCCATCCATCTCCTTGAGTTGTTGTAAAGTTTAAATGAGCTAACAAATTTTAAAAGGCTTAGAATATCTAATACATATAAAACACTCAAAAAATCATTACCTAGTTACTACTGTATACCCAGTAATATTCCATCTTAGTTTTCTCATAATGCTATAAAATACCGTTATCACCATTCTGCAAACAGGAGCCCTGTGGCCCTGAGAGGAGGTGAATATTACTAACAAGTGAATAAAATGTATTCACTTGCCATCAAAGAGTAAACTCCAAAATTTATAAATTTTTAAATCATTTTATTCTATTTTAAATTATTTTGGAGAATTTACCAAGAGCTCTGTTAAACTTGGCAGACTAGCCTTCTTGGAATCTCTTCATTTTCTAGGAAATCATCAAGTCTTGTTCTTGTCGCTGCCAAAATTCCTTGGCCGCTGCTGCTTCATTAGTGCATCTGTAGCACTTAGCACTGTGCCGGGATGTAGTAGATGATTGATAAATCCTTGGTTAAATTAAATTTTGTCACCCTGCTGATACATTAAGTATACTCTGCCCTTCTGGCCCACTGCTTAATTACAGAGGAGCTTTAGAAATCCTCTGTGGACCCAAAGAAACTACCTTCAGGTAAAGTATTTCCATGAGAAGGGATGGGAAGAACTAACATTTTTGAATGCTTATCTTATTCTAGGTTTGTTGGGGGGTTCTTTTTTACTTTGCGAACATTATTTCATTTAATCTTCAAAATACCCTATGAAATAGGGATTGTTACCCCCATTTACCAACCAAAAAGCTAAAATTAAAATAGTCTAAACAACATATTTAAAAATCACACAACTGGTGGGAAAGAATTTCCAATGTAAGTCTAACCCAAAGACCAAGAAATGATGAGGCAGTAATGGGGTAAAGTGAGACTCGGATTCAGTCATGAGGCAGATCCTCTTGACACAACTTCAGGTGATGCATGTGCCTCCTTATCCTCAGTTTCCTCAGTTATTTTGAGTATCAAAATATTTTTTTTGTAAATGGCTTTGAAATTATCATTGGTACTATAGACATAAACTATAATTATGGGTCTGGTGAATATAAACATTGAAACAAGTAAGAAGTCCCCAAAAGGTTTGAATTCCCTAGCAGGTGATGGGAGGAAGGTGGAAGCAATGAAAGGAGGTAAAGATCAAAGACAAAGAAATTCCATGCCTGTGGAAGCATCTGGGAGCAGACCTAGAAGATATTACCCTAGTACCAGTGCTGATTCAAGGCTGTTCAGTTGTCAGTTATCCCTAGGATATGTTAGATCATGTTTTAAAATGTAACTATAATGGCCACAATCACTAAACCAAACACTGGATATATATAGGACAAAACATTGGAAATCAGGACTGTTGTATATGGAGACACATATCTTGTATAAAAGATGGTTGTGAGACAAGCTATTCATTTGAAGGATTAAGAGTAATATTATCCTTAAATACATGGTTCTAAAACTACACGTGTACCATGGGGGTGTGGGGGTGGGTTGGAAGAGGTTAATGGGGGGAAAAGGGAGACATATGGAATACTTTCAACAATAGAGATATCAATAAAGATATTTTTAAAACAAAGCTCAAAAAATAAAATAAAATAAAATAAACTACATGTGTACCTTCCAGAGTACCTGAAATCCCTAAGGGCCTCAGTGGGATCCAGGCTGCTTGTTCTTGAAACAATTTCTTTAAAAGTTTTTCATAGAAATTAATGGCACTTCATTTGTTGCTAATGTCTTGTTTTGAAGGGAAGTTAGATGTATTTGGTGAGTTAATAAACTATGGCACACATTTAGTTAATAAACTAAATAGGCATGTGCCTCACTTATTATGATAGCAAGAACAGTTCAGTGTTATAAAACTGTAAAGTACTTTCCATTTCTTAGCATTTAATTACATCCCTACTGAGTTTAGAGAATAATGAATCTCAGCATATGACCTATTGCATGTATTTAGATTTAAGGAAGTTATCTATATAATAAAAGCTTAAGCAACCATTACTGCAGAATGACGGGAACAACCAATTGCTATGATATGCACTGACCACCAGGGGGCAGACACTCAATGCAGGAGCTGCCCCCTGGTGGTCAGTGTGCTCCCAAAGGGGGAGCACTGCTCAGCTAGAAGCCGGGCTCACAGATGGTGAGCATGGTGGTGGTGGCAGGAGCCTCTCCCTCCTCTGCAGCAGTGCTAAGGAACAGTGAGCTGAGTGGTAAGGAGAGAGCAGGCAGGTGATAAGGAGCGAGGGGTCCCGGACTACGAGAGGGCGCAGGCCAGGCTCAGGGATTCCCCCCTGCCCAAGTGCATGAATTTTGTGCACCAGGCCTCTAGTTTACTATAAGAATATACCCATATTTTTTATTTTCCTTTGTTTACATGATAAATTCCAGAAACCACCTATCAGATATTTTAAATTGCATTTTTTTAAAATATATTTTATTGATTTTTTACAGAGAGGAAGGGAGAGGGATAGAGAGCCAGAAACATCGATGAGAGAGAAACATTGATCAGCTGCCTCCTGCACACTCCTCACTGGGGATGTGCCCGCAACCAAGGTACATGCCCTTGACCGGAATCGAACCTGGGACCCTTGAATCCACAGGCCGATGCTCTATCCACTGAGCCAATCCAGTTAGGGCTTAAATTGCATTTTAACTTGATTGAGAATAGGCAACCTAGCTGATATTTTAAACAGTACTGAAGAAATCAAAAATAAATTAAGAAACCACTTTCATAAGTGTCTTTTGTCAAAGCTTGCCTAGAGGAAGCCTCCACTTCCAGGATCTACTGCTGAGATGGAGAATCTATGATCGATTGCTCAATTGCATCTGACCAATTTTAACTGTCAAGTATTTTGAAAAATATAGCCTATGACAATAACACATTTAACCTATTATAATAGCCTCTTTAATATTTGAACTTTATCATTATTGTTAATTATTAAGCACCTTGATGGTGGAATGGCTTGTAAGGATAATGATTGGTATAATGGAGCAACAAATGGTTAATTTGAGGAATATTTTTAGAGTGTATTCCTTATAAATTATACAAATGTTTATAAAAATAATTTTTACAATATTAAATTATGTTTTTTTGCAAAGTAGTGAAATATAATAGAGGAAATTTTTCCTACTTCTATTACTTAAAAAATATTTGTGAACATGGGTTCTTCAATATATAGCAGGATGGTCCCTGTCTGGGAGAAGCCTCATCTATACTAATAATAGGGTAATATGCAAATTGGTCAGGATGCTGTCACAGTAAAGACCGATCAGCAGGCTACGTGAGCAGCAGGTGCGGGTGGGCGGGGACTTGCGGCATTGGGGATGGGGGCAGCCGTTGGGGCCCTGGCTGCGGTCCTCAGGCACATGGTGAGGCCCCTCCACCACAGGCCTGGCCCAGTGGGGACGGGGGAGGCGGGGCCCAGCAGAGAGTGGCCTGTACTCCCAACATGGTGGCAGCAGCTGTGAGCAGCACCAAGCAGAGCCTGCGGGCCAAGCTGAAGCAGCACCTGCGGGTCATCAGTGCCATCTCCTGGCCCAGAAGGTGTGCGATTGCAGGGACAGCCATGGTGGCAGGCCAGATTGACGTCCTCCTGGGTGCACCGCACGGGTTTACAGATCTGCGCAGGTCTCTGGTGCACGCATCCTATCCCCTCACCTTGGGTGCGAACGTCCCTTAGAACGCTGTCACCCATACATGCCTGCAACAGTCCCAGACCACAGTGCATGCATGTTCCCCCCTCCCCTCCGTGGCACTTCTGTCAACCCCGGCGTGCCTACATCCCCGACACGACGTGCACATGTCCCCTCCCGCAAACTCACGTCCTTTGGAGCGTGTCTGGGTGCTCGGGACAGGTGGCTGTGAGATGTCAGTGAGAGGGCGGAGTGGTGATGCCCTGTTCCCGTGGAGGCCAGTGCAGTGACAAGATCACCTCCATGGGGCTAATGCAGGTGCTGAGGTGGGAGCAGGTGCAGACAGACACACCTGGTGGGCATGGGGCAGCCCTCACTGAGGTGCCTTCGGTCAGCGTTCGAGGTCGGGAACCCAGAGGATGTGAGGAGGTCTGTCCTCTCAGTGAAACGGCGGTAGGGTCAGAGCAACTGCAGAGGAGGAATGTGCACTCAGGGCGCTGGCGTCCATGAGTGAAGGCCGCCCTACTGAGCCTCACTCGCTCAGGGCCTAGCGCACTCCTGCCAGG